CACAAAACATTCTCATTTCAGACATATAGACGACCCCTTATTAATATATTCCCAAAACACTATATTTACCAGATCTTGTCAACAAACTTAATAGCGTTGAACCCCGCAATAGACATCACCCTTGAACTTGAAGCCAATTACACTTTTCCCTTTTTAGATATCATTTTACATCGAAACAATAACGAACTCAAATATGACATTTAGCAACAAGAATGGCCTGGTCAACTTTTAGTCACACCGCTCTAATAAGATTAAATCTAGTATAATTATAGGTTTCTACCTAAGAGCATTAAGAATCTGCAGCCCCTAATAAACACCCAAAGAATAAACACACATAATAAATACATAAAAAAACCTCTAATATCCTTATCACTTCATCCACAAAGAGAAAGACGTAGAAAATACACGACCGCAAAAAGATAACAAACTTATCTGCAACAATAAACTAGACAAAAACTGATACATAATGCTCCCTACCAGCTCCATAACATACACTATCCAAAATAAATTATCCCATTAAAACAACATCGAAACATCTGTCTATATTTCTGAGATGAGGTATTATGTACATTATTTACATTATTCGGACTATTGTCCTAATCTTTGTCACCATATTTATTACAACGTTTCGGCCTTTCAGTATCTGTCTATATTTTTGAGATGAGGTATTATGTACATTATTTACATTATTCGGACTATTGTCCTAATCTTTGTCACCATATTTATTACAACGTTTCAGCCTTTCAGTATCTGTCTATATTATTGAGATGAGGTATTATGTACATTATTTACATTATTCGGACTATTGTCCTAATCTTTGTCACCATATTTATTACAACGTTTCGGCCTTTCAGTATCTGTCTATATTTCTGAGATGAGGTATTATGTACACTATTTACATTATTCGGACTATTGTCCTCATCTTTGTCGCCATATTTATTACAACGTTTCGGTCGTTGCACGCTCCGGCCTTCTTCAGGTGGTTGGAATGTCGAACTGAACCCTTTATTTCGCTCAGTGGAGTAGACTGTTCTAGTTCCACGTGCCATGTTTTTAATGGATGTCAGTTATCAGCTATCTCCTGTTAATTTCCCTCTGAAAGTTCTCCACTGCCTTAACCGGGTATTGAACTCACACTTTGGGTCCTGTTCACTGGATTTAACCAACGCCTTTATCCACTCAGGGACACATGGCACAGTCGATAAAGGCGTTGGTTAGATACAGAGCAATTTATGAAATGCATTCGTTATACACAGAAAAACTTCAATTACAGTTTTGGTCTAAGAAATGCCACAGATC